AGAAGAAATCCCTAAAAATGGAAGAAGATAGAGAATACGTGACTAAAGTTCCCTACGCATCTGCAATTAGTAGTTTAATTATTCAATGGTATGCACCAGACCAGAAATTGCTCATGTAGTGGGAGTTATAAGCAGATTCATGTCAAATCCAAGAAGACAACATTGGGAAGGATTGAAATGGTTGCTACGCTACTTAAAAGGAACAGTTGAGTGTTCCTTATGTTTCATAAGAAAATGAGTAGTTTTAGAAGGGTTCATTGATGCAAAATTAGGTGGATGTGCAGATTCAATCAAGAGCACAACGGGTTATGTGTTCACAATTGGAGGTACAAAAATTAGCTGGTTGTTAAGGTTACAGAAGAGTGTTTCTTTTTCAACCCAGAGTTAGAATACATGGCACTTGTAGAAGCTTCCAAAGAGCTCATATGGTTGAAGAGTTTCTTATTAGAAATTGGAATGCAATAAGAGGATTGTGTATTGCATTGTGACAACCAAAGTGAAGCTCACTTAGCAAAGAATCCAGTGTTTCAAATCAGAACAAACACATTCAGATGAGGTACCATTTCATTCAAGAGTTAATCAATGAGGGAACTTTAAACTTGAAGAAAATCATTGGAACAAAGAATCCAACCGATATGTTCACCAAGGTGGTTACCACTAAAAAGTTAAAGCTTTGCATGGCATCAATAGGCCTTCCAAAAGTTTGAAGGAAATGGCTTGGTAGAGAGAGAGAGAGAGAGAGAGAGAGAAATAGAGGGACTGCTTTGAGGAATAATGAAATTTAAATGGAAGATGAAGTTGTTCAAGCCTTCAAGTGGGATATTGTTGGGGTATGAAGTCTTGTCCAACATGGAGCACTTAGATCACAATGGAACACTTGGGGTTCATGGAGCATGTAACAAAGGAATTGATCATTTGAAAAATGAATGGATCATCTGAGAAAGGAACGGATCATGCAGAAGGGGGTTTGGAGCACCTGGAAGAGATTTGGAGTGCTTGGGAGTGACATGGAGAAACAGAGGGATCTTGTTGTGCCGTATGTTAAAGGGATAGGAGAAGAAGGATGCTCTTGTGCCATGACATTCCTTCTTGCGCCATAATGCTCCCTCTTGCGCCATGAGGATCCATGTTGCTCTATGAGGGTACTCCTCTTGCGCCATAAGGTACGCTCTTGCGCCATGTGTGGCCTTGTTTCACCATGGTGGTGTTTTTGCTCCAATCTTGATGTTCGTGAGCCACACTTGAAGCCACTTGTGCTATCCCTATTCATGTTGTGCCATGATGGCGCAACATGGACCATCTTGGTCCTTGATAAGCCAAGTATGCTATGAAGTCATCTATGATGATCAAGATCGTTCGGAGATGCTAAGAAGTTGGCATTGCTGTGACATCCCCAAAATCACGGCCAGAAAAGACCGGTTTTATTTATGCTTTTAAAATAATTTCAGAGTAAATCCTTTTGATTTAAAAGAGTTGCGGAATTTGTTCCCAAAGAAAATGATAAAATAATATTTACCAAAGCAATTCATAAAGAAATGTATTTTCATTATATAATCAAAACTCGGGATGTCATTTTCCGATACAGACCAAAAAGCATAAACGACATATTACAAGCCATACAACAATTATATAGATATATAGGCTTATAAACAAAATATTTTGATGATTAATCCAACTTATGCCCTCGCGCCACTACCTGTAATATAAAGAAATTGAGTGGGTCAAACTTGGGAGTCTGGTGAGCATATAGAGTTTTCAACCCACAATAAATAAGTATATTTAATTCGACAATCAACAATAACCCGATTACCCATTCCTGTTATCCTCACTTTACGTCCCTAAAACAACATCTATTATAAGGAACCTAATATAGGATTTTCATCGGGATGGACATTACTGCAAGGGTTTTCCTCAACAATAAATGTCCTAAAGGCAACCATGAGGGGGATAGAGTACACCGGTGAACACATCGTTCACAACACCTACAGGTTATAAGTCTGTCAGTGTTCCACAAGATTGTCTAGAAAGAGTTCGTGGTCGTCATCTATACTCTGCTAGATGACTAGATCAACAACAACATCGAGGCCTCTCATCATTTTATTTCATCACAAATCCACTATCTACCCATGTTCTACCCAACATCTTTGTAGATAAAATATATATACAACATAATACATGTATAAAACATTTGATCAATACTCATTTCAAATAACACATAACATATAAACACACAACATGTATTTTACAGAGAATACTTCATATTTATGTGTTAGACGAAAGTAACTACACACTCACACATATAAACAACAATATATATACACATAGCACGTATTTTAAAAAATTATTCATATCTATGTGTAAGTTGAAAGTGACTATACACTCACACATATAAACAATAATATATATATACACATAGCACATATTTAAAAAAAAAAAAAAAAACACTTCATATCTATGTATAAGTTGAAAGTGACTATACACTCACACATATAAACAACAATATATATACACATAGCACGTATTTAAAAAAAATACTTCATATCTACGAATAAGTTGAAAGTGACTATACACTCACACATATAAACAACAATATATATATATATATATATATATATATATATATATATATATATATATATGTATATATATATATACACACACACACACACACATAGCACGTATTAAGAAAAAAATACTTCATATCTATGTGTAAGTTGAAAGTAACTATACACTCACTTGATCAGAAGATGATCGGACAGCGTTACGGCTTGTAGAAGTATTATTCTTTGGTGAAACCAGGAGATCTTCACAAAAACTGGACTTCGTGCGGGCAGAGCTTCGGCTCAGGAATCTCACTTCTCGGGATCCTCCAGGCTTCGGAACTTGCTTCGGGGCTCGGGAATGATACCGGGGCTTTGGGATATTTCTTGCACGCAAAACAATGCAAAAATGAGAGAGAAAGGAAGAAAAGTAGCAAAAAGATCGGCAGCCCTCGACTTCTATTTATAGGGTGCTGAAACTGGGATGACATTGGGCGTACTCGGTATGCTGGGCGTACTAATCTCTACGATGGGCATACACTTCAGATAAGCTTTGGTATGCATGCCTTGAACTTCAAAAATTCATAACTTTCGCAAACGATCTCCATTTTCGACATTCTTTATATCCACGCGTAGGTGAGACTATGCTCTACAACTTTCGTTTAGACTCCATCGGTTGATTTCGGCTTTATTTTTATTATATTATTTTTAGTAGGCCGGGACAGAAAAACTCCGTTATAAAATTATAACTTCTTCATCCGACGTCCGTTTTCGTCTGTCTTTTAACCGTTGGACTACTATCGACGAGATCTTTGATTCTCATTTAGATTGTTTCGGCTAAAAATCATTCGATCTCCTATTCAAGTATTCGGGTTGCATACCGCTAAGTCGAAACTTCGGAAAATCATAACTTCCTCATACGAAGTCAGATTTGGGCGTTCTTTTTATGCATGCTTTCGGTTTAACATATTCTACGACTTTCGTTTAGATCACTAAGGCTAGATATCGCTCTATCTTAAATTTATATTTTACGTCATACAGCGTCGTGCCGGTTCTGTCGCGAAACTTCGACGAGTCATAACTTCTTCGTTATAACTCGGATTTCGGTATTCTTTATATATTCGGAAACCTTGCCACGACCACTACAACTTCATGTATCTATATCGGGCTTATCTAATATTTTTAATTTATCGCTTATTTTATCCTTAATTCAATTAAGTCATCGCAATTAAGCATAAATCACATAATACTCAAATAATACATTCTTATTGTTTCAAATTGGGTTACAAATTTTAACCTAGACTATTACATTGCTATTAATGACAAGTCTAGAAACACGGGCGTTACAATTGCTCAAGGTTTACACCATGATGTGCCACCGTGATGGATGTTAAACCATTAGTGTTCATGATGCACCACATGTGCATCATGATGCTCCACTATGGTCAAGGTGGCCCATCATGTGTGTTGCTGATGTTTATGGGTTGTATGATATGAAAAAGTGTTCCAAAAGATGATACATGACGAAATATGATTGGTTGTCACCATTGATGGACCTATATGCCAATGGGCTTTGCCCATTAGGGATTTAGGTCTTATCCTTCAAGTATAAATAGGCTCATACACTCATCATTGAAAATTGCTAGATTTTTGTGAGAGCTCAAAATGAGATACAATTTTGAGTGATTGTAATAGTTCCAAAAAGTTAATAAAATATTCTCTCTCTTGTTCGACTGTCGACGTAGGTCACCTTGACCGAACCACATTAAATATCATGTTCTTTTGATTTACGTTTTTTAGAAGTTTTGTGAGTACATCGAAGTTTGTTTTCTTTTATATTTGTCTGAAGTGCTTAACTTGTTTTGTTGTTACCCATCACTTATATTATATTTTAATGAAATTTAAGTTTTTATAAAAATAATTTGTTTAAATTAATTATTTTTTTGTAAATTGTTTTTTCTAAAAAAATTAACATGTCAAAAATGACAACCCACACCCTCTAAATGATAAACTTTGAAGCTCTGTGGCAAATCTTATGTGGCACATACGTTTACTATAACAAACGTAACATCACTTCTTCTAACCTAATAATTTAAAACAAAAATACCAAAATATAAATGATTAAATCACATAAAAATCTTATAAGATGGCTAAAACCAAATAATAATAATAATAATAATAATAATAATAATAATAAATAAATAATAATAATTAATGATAATAATAATAATAAATACCACAATGATTTTTATTTTATGAAACAAGCAACTATAATTGACGCAATCCCAAGGAAAGGAGGTGCAGCCGACCACAAATTGCACCCATTTCTCTGTTGGCGCAACCACCATTTGGTCAAACCCGTGTGCTCGCCACCCGCTGTTTCACCTTTCAATCATATATTAATAACAGACCATCATCACTCATCATCTCCACCGCTAACAACATACCGGAAAGCTCAACATGTGCCGTGGATTTCAGCAAAGCGAGAAAGATCGTCTCTTAAAAATCAAAGCTTTTTATCTCTTGTTATCCCTTCCCAAAACCCACAAACACTTGCCCGATTCCCTCACTCTACATTATCTACCCCGGATTAATGGCAGCCCCTTGGAGATTAACGGATCCGTCATCCGACCCGATGCTCCGGCGTTTGTCACCCTCTACCGGGTAGTTGTGTCTGATAAGGGTAAAGGGTCGGTTATGTATGGGAGCAGGGAGAAAGTGGGGGTGAGTGAAGGGGTGAGATTTGAGGTTTATTTGAGGGAAGAGAAGGTGGTGAAGGGTGGTTTCAGGAAAGATGAAGAGGGTGAGTGGAAGATGGAATGCAGGTGTGGGTTAGAAGGGGAGATGGTGGTGGAGATGCAAAGTGTGGAGGTTTGTGTAGCGACGGAGGGTGAGGTGGAGGTGATGAGGGAGAAGGTAGAGATGGTGGTGAGGAGGAAAAGAGGGAGGTGTTTTGAAGGGTTGGAGGAGATACTGGAGCAGGGGAGAGAGGGGGAGGAAGTGGAGGAGAATTATTGTTGCTGTTGTGATTGTGGCGGAGAAGATGACGATTCGGAGGAGGAGGACGGTGGAGGCGAGGTGGAGGCGGAAGTGGAAGGTGTGAGATGGGCGGTTGACGTTGGCATATGGGTCATGTGTTTGGGTGTTGGTGTCGGGTATTTGGTTTCAAAAGCTTCATCAAAGAATCTAAGGAGACGCAGATTATTGTAGCTTTGAAATTAATCTGATTTATTTTTTGTTAGATGATCACATAAGTTTTGTAAATATAAAATAGTAATATATTTCGTAATCTTTATATTATTATGATCACGACAATTTATATATAGAGCTTGTTCAAGTGAAATCACATTTAATGTTATCTCTCCAGCATTCAATAGACGGCGCCTTTTCGATAATTTTTGAAAGGTCGATATAGCAAATGTGATTATCAAAACTTTTTAAGCAATCTTATCTTAAGAAATGACATCATCCATTATTTTGCAAAAATATAAAGGACATAACTTACTTATTATTAAATTCTTAATACTTCATTGACTTATAAAGCTTTCATATTAGATCTATTTTGATATGATAATATGTTTTATTAACAATATTATAAATAAGATCGAAGATTGAAGAAACAAGAGAGTATTACTTTATAAAGAAAAAAAAAAGTTAAATAAATGTGAGACAACCAATACGAAAAAATGGAAATTAAATACCAGAAACAACAATTTTGAGATAAAAATATTTTTTTTATAAGAAATTGGTCATATATAACAATCAAGGAAAGCCAGATAAAAATATTTTTTATAAGAAATTGGTCATATATAACAATCAAGGAAAGCCACTCGCTATTATGATCGATCAACTCTGAGAGATGAAAGAAGCATTAAAGTAATAGTTATTGAACTGATCCCCATTTTTGAAACCAAAACATATTCTTGTGTATATGTTTAGTTTTGTTATTATTGTCGATTGTGAACCTTTTGGTTTTAAGTTTGGGTATTCTCACAGTGCACCAACCATCTTTGTAACTCTTCTGATTTTCTTTTATAGACGAACAAAACTGTAAAAATTGTTTTTATGGTTTTTGATCCAAAATTTTTTGGATTTACCGGTCCAAAATTCTAATTTTATTATGAGTTTGGTCCAAAATTTTTAAAAATATTTCAAATGATAAATTTGCCTTTTTAGTTTTCTTTTTCTATTTTGTTTATAATTTTTTTTTCTGATTAAAAATTAAACAATAGAAAAAAAATATATAATCCCACTTTTCATATTTCCTACAAGACTAGTCTTCCTCCTTTAACCCTCCGGTCAACGCCTCAACCACCATCATCGATCATCACCACTGTTGTCGAACAGTATCATCGGTTCGATCATACATTTTTTTTTTCTTTTCAAATTTGAAAAACAAAATGCTCGTTTTTTTTTTTTTTTTTCAGATACGCAATCTTAAAACTGTCAATTTTTCTGCAAACACATTTTTCTTTTCAAATAACTCAAACTAGAACAAGATTACCCAAAAACACTCAAGAACAATATATTTCTACAAACTCGGTTTTTTTAGATCTCAAGAACAAGAATACATTTTTCTAGACTTGCAAAATCGAAAGCTTAGAATAACGAACTAAAAAACTCGGTTTTTCTAGACATACAAACAAAAACGAAAACTAAATCTGAGTTTTTGAGATCTACAAACAAAAAATCTGATACCTCCAGAAAACTAGAATGAAAATCAAACTGAGTATCATTTTCTGAAAAAAAAAAAAAAAAATCAATGGAGAAGAGGATGGATGTTCTTGGTATACTAATCTGGAACGTCACCGGTCGGACGTTAGAGTCGTTGGAGCCGAAGTCGTTGTCTCTCTCACCGGAAAAGGTTTCCAATGTGGGTTATTTTTTGGGATCTTTGTAACCTCTTTCGTCGTCTATATAGAGATGACGACAACCATTTAACAAACCCTAATCGTCACGATGAAAAGCTCTAGGTGTTCACCACCACACTCCTACGATTTTTCGAATTTGTCTTGGCCCAACACTTGAAACACCGAAACCATAGTAACGTTGTTATTGTCTTCGTTAGATTTTGTAACTTCCTATTTTGAGGCTAGACGTTTTGAGTGTTTTGGTAAAAATAAAATTTTCTTTAATTTAAAATAAAATATTTTGAAAAGAAATAAATAATGAATTGAAGTGAATGATTTTGATTAATAACTCTAATAAACATGTTTTCTAAACCATAAATAGATTATGAAAGAGTTTGGGCCTAAAAAAAAAACTTTAAAGGTTTAGGGGATAAAAGTGTCAGTTCTTAGAAACTTGTTTTTGACCTGAAAATTTGACCAAATAAGCATCCAATGCTAGATTTGAATGAGTTATGGTGGGTAGGATCAATTGTATAGTAAAAATAAATTTTATTTGATAGAAATATTTTTATGTGATTGTCACTTGAAATAACTTGAGTATTGATTTACATTTTCTAACAAACATTATCAGAATTTTCAAGTTGGAAAGATCTTGAAGATTCAACAAGTGTTTAAAGAATCAGATGTTGCAGCACTTACCGTTGACATAGAGCACTTGAAGTTGCCATGGAGCAATTGCTAAACATGGAGCACTCGTTATTGACATGGAGCACTTGAAGCTTACATGGAGCACTTGCACTTGCGATGGAGCACTTGCTAAAAGCAAGTTGGATCATTATGATCTCAAATGGCACATTGTTAAGACCGGTTTCCGCACCCGATTTAAACAAATAAAATGATCACTGCTGGTTGCACTAAAATATAGCACAATGAAGCATGGTCGAATCCTTAGGGATACAGCCTAATGGTCAATGCCTTTTTGCACAAATCAAAGCAGAAACAAGATCTAACCAAACAAACAATGGTTATTATTGAGAAAAACTAAAGCACAAAAAACTCAATTGGTTCACGCTTGATATCACAGCTCGATAACTTAGCATGCATATATATATATAGAATACAAGACATAACAACCTTGCATCTATTTAGGATCCTAGCATCAATCCTTATCACTATCTAATTTGCCAACTCATAAAACTAGATAACTCCTATTATACCTCATCGCATATAGGATAATTCAGAAATTTCCAACAACCACCTCCGCAATTTCTGAATCTGCATAGTAAGATCTTCAACTCCCAGTAGCCTCCTCATTTCTTCAAATTTAACTCTCGCCAGTGCCTTTGTTAAAATGTCAGCTTGTTGTTCATTACCACACACATGCTCAACTCGGATCTCCTTTTCTTCTACCCTCTCACGAATATAGTGATATCTAGATTTGATATGTTTGCTCTGATTGTGAAATACTGGATTCTTAATTAACGCAATAGATGACGTATTGTCAATCTTAAGAGCCACCTCCTTCTCACTTGTCCCAAACACTTCTTCTATCAAATCTTTTAACCAAACAGCTTGACAACTTGCTGCTGAAGCAACCATATACTCGGCTTCACATGAAGACAATGCCACTTTATCTTGTTTCTGTGAACACCAAGTAATGGGTGACTTTCCAAGATAGAACACATGCCCCGTAGTGCTTCTTCCATCATCTTCATCCGCATTATGACTGTTGTCACTATATCTCATTGACTTTCCATAACTCCCATGTGGATAGAAAATACCATACCCGACAGTTCCCTTCACATACCGTAGTATTTGTTTAACCGCTGCCATATGTGATACTTTCGGTGTTTGCATGTAACGAATAATGATTCCAACCGAGAATGCTAGATCGGGTTTAGTTTGTAATAGATATCTCAGCCTTCCCACCAAACTTCTATACTCAGTAGCATCAACCTCTTTTTCATCTTGTGCTTTTGAGAATTTTTTATTACAATCCATAGGAATCAATGTAGGATTGCAATTACTCATCCCTACATCTTTTAGAACTTTCTTTGCATATGCTTCTTGAGTAACAATTACACCCCTCATGCTTTGGTATACTTCAATACCCAAGTAATACCTAAGTATACCAAGGTCTGACATCTTGAACTTGGTCGACATTGTAGCTTTAAACCGCTTAATGATATCTACACTTGAACCCGTTACAATTAAGTCATCCACATAAACACCTACGACAATCAAATAATTACCGATCCTATGTCGATACACAGCTTGTTCATGCACGCAACGTTTAAATTTCATACATTTTAGAATACCATCTAACTTAATATTCCATTTTCGGGGAGCCTGCCTTAACCCATATAACACTTTATCTAACTTGTAAACCATTCTTTCACACCCGACTTTAACAAATCCCTCAGGTTGTTCAACGTAGACATCTTCTTGAAGCTCACCATGAAGGAATGCCGATTTTCCATCAAGATGGTGAATCTCCCATCCTTTTGATGCTGCTAGAGCTAACATGATCCTCACCGTTTCAATGCGAGCCACCGGTGCAAAGACTTCATCAAAATAAACTCCCGCTTGTTGCTAGTATCCTTTTGCGACTATCCTAGCCTTATATTTGCTTATTGCTCCACTAACATCACGTTTGATTTTAAACACCCATTTTAGTCATATCACAGTTATAGCCGGCGGTCTTTTAACGAGCCTCCATGTCTTATTTTTCATAATGGAATCAATTTCCTCCTCCATTGCTTTTACCCACCTAGGGTTTTTCACTGCTTCCAAGAAGCTAGCTGGCTCGTCTTCATTCATTGATAAGAAAAGAAAATGATCTTCAATAAATAGATTGACAACATAGTCATCAAACCTTCTTGGTCGTTGAATCTGCCTTGACGAACGCCTTAGTTGTTCGTTATTGACCTCATCGTCAACCTGCGACACGTTAGTGACCTCATCGTCAACTTGTGGCTCGTGAGCAATATTATCAGGCTCTCCATCATTAGCATCCTCTTCATGTTGATTCTCGTTTTGGTTTAAATTACCCATTACAGGCCCTGCTCCAGTGTCTATGACCGTTTCCTATTGGACCCAAAACATTTCAGGCCTCAACTCATCTTCAAGCCCACTATTCCAAGTCCAAGTGGCCTTCTCATCAAAGACGACATCACGAGATACGATTATTTTTTTGGTAGATGGATCAAATAGTCTGTACGCCTTGGACCCCGACTCCGACCCCAAATAGAATAATTTCTTTGATCTATCATCCAGTTTTTTTAAGTTTGGACCCAATACTTTAGCTTATGCTTTACAACCAAAAACCCGAAGGTGTTCAATGTTGGGTCTTCGTCCAAA